TCTTCGTCCTCTGGCATGGGAGCTGCCTTGGAGCTCGTCTGCCTGGCTGTGTGTTTCCTGGACGGGGCCGGTTTTTACAGCTGCTTTTTGTATCTCTGCTTCTGTCCCCTTGAACCCCAGTCGGCCTCGGCAGATGGCCGCTCACACTGAGCCTGGCTCTGCTGGAGGTTTCTTCCTGTAAGAGGGAGTTTTTCCTCTCCACTGTCGCTACAAGCATGCTTAGTGTGAGGGATTGTATTTGAGTCAATGAGTCAATGCAATCAAATGGTTCTCCTTAGATAGAAAACTTTGTATCAATTTGACTGTATGATCTGGTGAACTGTAAAGTGCCTTGGGATGACATGTGTTGTGAATTTGGCGCTATATAAATAAACTGAATTGAAATTGAGTTAACTAAAAATGTGATGTAAAGAGAGCTTTAAAATTTTCTTTAGGTAATCCATGAATCAAATAGTGCAGTGTAAAACAGGGTTAAATGCTTTCTAAATGTTTACAGGTTCCTTGAATAAGATTATATAAGTAATTTTGAGTGTATTTTTTTTTTGTAGACTCTGAAACAATCTGCTGAATAAACAGACAGTCTACAGATAATTTAAATGTACTGAATTTAAGGATGATTTAAGTGAAAGTAATTGTGGATAAGAATATTTGGTTGTGACTGCCCTTCGATTTTGAGTAAATAAAGAATTACTCATTAAAGACGCTGCTTATTCTGATAAAAACATTAATAGCACTCTTTGTGTGTTGGAGGATCTTGGAGGAATGGATTGCTGAACTGTGATGAGAACACTCCATGAGAACTACCACATGGATTCAGCATCTATCTGCCATGAGACTGCATGGAGACCTAAGCAGCTGTGGAGGAGACCACACGAGACTCTGATTAATTAATTAGATTGATGAGTGATAGAGACACTGAAAGAATTCATCGTCAGTGATGTTCATCATTTGCCTTTAACTCGAGCCAGGTTAATTCTTACTTTTACCGAGTTTGTCAGAGTTCAACATGCAGTACGGGACCAATTCGGGTTATTTTCTCAGACCCTGCAACTGCTGCTGCCATGATCCATCTGTGCTCCTGCAGCATGTGTAGCGCTGCACAACTGGTGGGTAACAGGATCAATGAAGAAGCAGCAGTTTAAACTTCTAACTGATGACCCGCTATTTTTTATTTAGTCTCATCTCGTTGACTTAAACTCAAACCTATGACTCTTTATGTTTTAGTCATCAAAGATCCATTTTTAGCTCATTAGTGTTCGTTATTCTCATCCTCATTGTTGACGAAAACAACACTGTTGGGAACGTCTAGCAATAACACCCCAAACAACACTGCAAGCACAACTATCCCAGATCCTGACGCATGAATCTTTAGAGAAGTAGACTTGATCAGAATTCTTCAGATCGGTAAGGGCACTTAAGGCATGGCAGAGTTGTCTCTGCTGATGCCATAATATGCATTAACCGAATAGTGCTGGCACTAATTATACGGATGCCCTCAGTCCTTTGAGTGACAGATGTTATGGGTGCAGCCCCCCTTACAGAGTAAAAAGAAATTAAAAATTTTGTGCAAGATGTGTTGTGTGAGACACCTGCAAATGTCTTCATCCATGTGCTTTTGGTTTTAAGACAGAGAGCTCCAGCTATTGGCTGCATTTATGTAACTTTGTTGTTTGTAGTTCTTTCCTGAAGCCTGTAGCCCCAATTTGACCAACATTTACTTGCATGTCTTTCATGCAATGACGTACGTAAGGCTGAAGGGTGCTTGGATTCAGCCTAGCAGACTGGAGCTTCTTTCCTAGCCTGGATAGTTGTTGACTCACAAAAAGTAAAGGGACAGGAGCCAGGAACAGGAGGTAGAAGACATAATCATATATATATATATATTCATATACATATATTTATTTATGGAGCAAAATAAAAAAAACATGACCTGCGGGGCGCGGGGGCTGGTTCGGGGGTCCATGGGTCCTGGGGGCTCTGGGGGTGCCTGGCAGATCTGACCCCGGAGTCTGTTGCCCCCATCAGGGATGGGCTTGGGATGCCCCAGGGTGTCCTACAGTGGCCTCTTGCAGTGCTCTTGGGAGGGTTCTGCGGTGGCGGACGTGGGTAACTGGCCTGGTAGCTGGGTGGGTCCAGGGTAGGTCTGGGGGTCCTTAGGGTGCGTTGGCCAGGGTGCGCCTCTTCGGCTCTTCAAAACCACTGTTGAGCATTTCTCCTTTGGAGGAACTTTACATGCACAAATGCAATTTCACAGACAACTACAGGTGCTTGGCTCCAGGTACTTAGAGATTCACTTCCATAGCCCATATTCTGATCTTCAGCTACCACAGTATACGTACATGTCAGACTGAATAATACTACTTATACTTCAGCGATAGTATTAAAGGATACATGCGCCGTTTTGTTTTTAAAACATATAAATATAAAAAATATAACCGCAGATGTCTGGATGCCTAGGTTATTAATGCCGGCATACCATAAAGAATAAATTATGAACAGTTCAGTTTGTGCCTTCAAGTCGATCGCCCATAGGAAGACGTTACTTGGATATAACAAAACGGAATATCTTCAGAACAGCTCCAACTGACACAAGAATTATATGGGTGAGTAGAACATGATGTAATTACGTAAAATCAAGGGCCAAATGTAAAAAAAACGGCGTTCCCCTTTAAGGTGTTACTTTATTGTATGTCTTGTACCATGTCTGTTGGTTGTACTGTTCTTTTTACATCTCTCTGCAGGTGATGAAGCAGACTTAAGATCTTTTATTATTGTCTCCCTTTTATCTCCTCTTTCTTTAATCTTTTCTCATTTTTTTCTGTTTTTCCTTTACTGTTCTGTTTTAATTTCAGTGTCCATATCATCTGTAATACTCCCTGCATGAATTATGATAAAGCTATTTATATGCATAAATCAAGTGGAACACTAAGGCGATAGCTGTGCTGCTCCACTTGTGAAAGTAAAATCTCTTGGGCTTTTTTTGGCATCAAGACAATTTCCACAGGACACTGTAAAAAAAAAAAAGAAAAAAAAAGAAAAGAAAAAAAAAAAAGATCGGTTTTCAACACGACCAATACACAACATGTATCATCTCAAGGCACTTTACAAAGACAAATCAACCAGATCCTAGAGTCACATTGGTTAAAAATTTTATGGAAAACAAAATGATTGCATTCCATTGACTGAAACGAGACCAGGCTCAGCAGGCAAACATACAGAAAGAAGCAGAGATACAAAAGGCTACTGTCAATCAACATCACAGAAAACACACAGCAAGGCAGATAAGCTCCAAGCAAGTTCCCATGTCAGAAGATGAAAGAGAGAACATACAGTTACAAACAGGATTCCAAAAAAGTTGGGACACGAAACAAATTGTACATAAAAACTGAAAGCAATGATGTGGAGGTGTCAAAAACAAATATTTTATTCACAATAGAACACAAATCGCAGATCAAAAGTTTAAACTGAGAGAATGTATCATTTT